GGGTTCGAAACTAGCTTTTGGAACCGGGATTGGGTCCAACGGACGAAATAAGTAAAGATAGGATAAGAGATATTAGAAAAGATATAGAAATAAACAAAAAGATAGATGGGTAAAATTACCAAAGATAAGAGAAGATAGAAACAGGGCGCCACTCAATTTTTTGGGTTAAGGAGAAAATTAAGAAACCTTAGAAAAGAAAAGAGATAAGGAAAGATATCCTTCAGAGATCAGAGATCAAACCCAAGGAAAGATACCAACAGTTAATTATCAAATAAATTTGGTCAACACAATATATAAACAAATAATAAATATATTAGGTATTACACTTACTTACCTACGAAACTTAATCAGCCTGATCTTTCTACTGGTCAAAGGTATAGTAATAAATTAATATACTAAGCAAATATTTAGAGCTACTATTTTATCAGGGAACTTGTTAGGAGCCGACAAATAAAATACATGCATAAAACATTAACAATATATTAAACACAAAATTATGATGCTGCTAAATGCAACACAAGTAATAAAAATACACAACTATGAAATGGTGTTATATATGTATAAAATTAAGCAATAATATAATAAAAAAATACCTTTACCAAGATATATAAGGCAATCATATACAAATATAGTTTGGCATATCTCGAGATATTATAGGAAAGATAATGAGCAAAAATTATAGCAAATACAAAAGATAGCAAAAATTTCTTAACTCTAAATTTACAAAAAAAAACAAACAAGTTACAGAGTTGAAAACATTAACTAGCCAAACCGCACTTGGCTAGGTGGGTTACTATCTCGCACTATTAATTAATGCTAAACTGAGATGTTCATAGTTATTATTTATGGAAAGTTCTTGAATTGTTCTTTAAATTAAATATAAAAATCGGCAATCTACAGATGAAGATATGGATGAATGATGGGTGATACGTCCAGATAATGGCAGGTGGTATGATACCATACCATATTACTCGCCCAGATAATTTGCAGATAAAGATTATGGTAACTTACATAATTCCTGATGACGGCAGCTTAATTCACTGAATTTAATATACTGTACTGGTATCAACACTAATTAATAGGTACCATTAAAGGTAGTGTAGAACTATATAAACTTAATATAGTCTAAGACAAGAAAACTGAAATATAGAGGTATCACACTAGAAATAATTCACAGAGACGATAATTCAGGCACACTGAGCCACACTCAACGAGAGGCCCACCGAGAAGTCTCACGAGATAATCGACCTGTGCTCAACGAGAGCCCACCGAGAAGTAAGTTGGTTCCACTAAAAATTTCACCAACTATCCAAGAAAAAAGAAGAAGAAGGTATATCTCCCACTTAAAATCATCGGACAGTTGTAGGTAATTCTGAGGAAGTAAAAATTCCGAAAGTTTTGAGTTACCGGTACCAACAATTGGACATGAGAAGCAGACAATACTTGGGATTAAGTTATTGTCAAAAGATACGGGCCTTCGGCGAAAATTATCAATTTATGTAAAAGAACCTGCATACCCAAAAGCATTAGATCTTTTCATACTGAGTATTAAGACGAAAAGGATTAACTACCTTTAGTAATTAGGGAAGTCCATTATAATTTAGTAGATCCAATATTATTTTCTTATCGTAAACACGGGAATTCCTAATCATCGGCGTACCGCACAGAGGTAAAAGAAATTAAAAATAATTATTATTTTTATAATAAAAAAAAATGTTACAAAGTAAGTATGACTAATGTACTTAAAAATAAATAAAAATTTTTGCAAATTCCCTTTAGGTCCTGTATACATCCTCATTTAGGTCCTGTATTAGTCCATGTGGACGTACAATGGATGTCCCCAATACATCCTTCTTAGGTCCTATACAAGTCCGTATTAAGTGCTGTATATGTACTATGTACGTCCCGTGAACATCCCTGGACGTTCAGGGGACGTACTTTTTGGTGACATTTAGGTCTTATTGGACGTCCTGGGGACGTCCAAATTTTGTAAACGGTTGTTCGTGGGATGTCCAGACATTTAATGAGGTAAATCCTTCGGACGTCCATGGGACGTATTTGTGCTGTCTGGGCTTCTTCTTCTAGAGCCATCTCCACTAGTAAAGGTTTGCTATAACCATTGCAAACTCGTCTCTATCTTCGGCTTTTCTTAAGAGCGTCTCTATGTGTAACCCGGTCCAGTCGCTAATGTTTTTCAGCCAGGATATTTGACGTCTACCAGGACCCCTTTTTCCTTAGATTTTACCCTTTATAATCAGCTGCAACAACTCGTACTTATCATTTCTAAGTATGTGTCCCAAATTTGCTCTTTCGATTTTTAATGGAGGTCAAAAGTTCTCTGTCTCTTGTAATATGATTGGTACATGGTATCTTCAAAATCCTCCTAAAAAGCCACATCTCAAAAGCTTCCATTTTTGTCATTAAGTCAATATTAACAGTCCAGGCTTCGACACTATAAAGAAAGAATAGAGTGGATATAACATTTTACCATCCGATATAGGATTTGCAGATTGAGTCTTTGGTTACTCAGAAATTTCCTCATCTTCAAAAAGGCTGCTCTTGTTGTTCTATGCTTGAGCGAATTTCTGATTTGGGATTCAGATCTTCCGTAATCCAGACTCCTAAGTATTTCATTTTGTTCACTTGCTCAATATCTTCATTTTTATCTGGATCCTTGTAATGACTTTGCCCCTCTTACTGATAACCATGATTTTTGTTTTCTTTATGTTTATTGTTAAACCAAATTGTTTCCTGTACGCATGTACTTAAGTACATGTCCTGATTCATATTCATGCATCTCTTGGCCAGCATATTCAAGACAAAAGAGTATCTCTTGTGCCCATACAATTTCTAAAGTTAAATTGTATGAGGTTAATTTCATACTCAAGAGTTTTAACAATTCTTGACTTGAGTTTTTGGGTATTACCACAAAGGTCGATTACAGCCATTGTCTATGGTCATATTTCTTGAGGTAGCCAGTATCGTACCTTATAAATAATAGTAACGGCCGAGCTGGAAGGATGAAGCAGGGTTGTTAAAAAACAAGCATCATGGCTGAGAACATTTACGAACAGGTATCCGCAGTGTCGTTGTAACCGTTTGAAGAGTTTTTCAAAATTCATTATAAATTTGATTATTTTTTTTTAAATAAAACTACTAACCCCACCTATCTGCCAGGCGCTTGTATTCGACTCAAGGTTTCTACGGTAATTCCCAACATATCCGATAGATGAGAACGATATTAACTTGTCAATCACGCCCCCAATTCAAAACCGTTGAAATAGCGTCGCTTCCTTTCCTGTTACAAACGTCCACCCGATAGGACGCGTTTTCGAAGTGAGTCTCTAGATTAGAGGTAAGCTACAAAGAAAAGCTTTTTCTTGTCTATATTTCAGATGAATAATTATTTTCAGACTCTTTTCCGGGAGGTTAAAGTTCATTGATTATGTTAAGTTAACTGAGACAGTTTCCTATGGTCCAATACTTCCCTATATATGGTTTCCAATAATTACTTATTATATAAATGGATTCTTATTAGTAAATATTTGATGAAATAACCAACGGATGAGAAGAAGCAGAGTATATCCCTTTTTTCCTGGTTCCCAGAGATTGGATAAATAAGGTTGTACCTTTTTTTTTATTAAGCCCTATCAGGAACGCGAGAATTATTTATGGATTCACAGAGACAAGAATATAGTGAAATATTTTAAATTTTGTTTAAAGACTTAACCTTTCTATTATGCCTAGTTAATAAATAGATTTAACTTTTCTATGTTGCCTAGTTAATAAATAACTACTATAATATTTTAAATGTAAACGAATTTCGAAATTTGGGAATAATATATAAATTCATTTGTTTCTATCAACCAATTCTTGATTTAAAAAGATAGAAAGTTGCTTTGTTTATAGTAATGTAATTATGAAATGGTATTTTAGTATCCTTTGGAAATAACAACTTTTAATGTTTCTTTTTATTACTGAGAAATAAAGTGTAATTTCGCTGTAAATTTTTTTATATATCTTATTTTTTTTATCTTCTCTCGTCCCCTACGAGGATAAACAAGGGGTGGCGTCCAATGATAAATTATAATTTCAGTTATCTAATTGTGTTTGAAATTTTGACATACTACGTAGTTTTTTTTGTGCAGTTGACCTTAACACACCTTCTCTCCGACATGAGCTAACCTGACCTTGAATTAAATGTATGTACTCGATGTTACAAAAAATCGACGTTACATCGTCCAACTCTTTTAACTTCTGCAGATCATCAAAAGTTCCCCAGAATGATTGCCAAAAATGGTACAATACAAATACAACTTAGGTAGCATATACTAACATAGAGAAATTTATTAACAGCAAAGAGTATGGAATCGAATCGAATCGGCATAAGAAGTACGATAACAAAGCTTAAAAGCAAGTAAATCGGCGGGATCTCTTAATGACACAATCTAAAAGAACGAACACCTAAGACAAGACACAAAAACAAGAACCTATAAAGTAGCAATTAGACATATAAGAAGATGAAAATAGTTCGACGAATATTAGGGAAAAGCCTGGTTGGATAGTGATATAAGCGAAAACATATGAAGAGCATGCAATATAGAAGACATAAATCAATGAGTGACACAACGGAAACAGGAGTGCAACGAAACATTTAGTAGAATGGTAGAGAATAGGATAGTACGAATAGCACGAGATACGTCACTAAATGGACGAAGAAGTATTGGCAAGTCAATAAAAAATTGGTGCGATAATGTAAACAATTTAGGAGGCTAATATTGAAGAAGAAACAGGCTTTACAGCTTCCATACAAAAAGGAAAAAGAAGAAGAAGAATAATGATATTCTCACTAATACATAAGCCGGAACTGCATTTGGTTACATTAGGGGTACGTCAGGAAAAAATGGTAAAAATATATTGTATCTTACGATTCATATAATATAAAGAGTTTAATCTGTTATTAGAGCTATAAATTGTAGCTATAAATTTCTATTACTCACCAATTAAGAGATGTGTTAACAAAAATGGTCCAAAATGATTGGTCGCCATTGTCAGTTCAATGCCATCTTCTGATTTTTTTAGTTTATTTTCCGCTGTACCTGCGTTATGGACCAAAACGTCCAATTTGGATTCGGTTCGGTTGATATCTTCGGCGAATTCTCTTATTGATTGTTGAGATGAGAGATCAAGTTTCTTTACGATGATATTTTGGTTTTTTGTGTCTTCTGCTAGTTCGTCTAAAATGCAGAAAAAAGTACATAATTTTAAATTGATAATAATTTGTAACATTAAATTATACGAAACATTTTATTAATATTGTAAATGATTTAAATAAAAGATTCTCGCATATAATTAGTACTCTTACGAGTATTAATAATTATTTCCCATTTTCGTTAAATAGTGATAAGAAATAGTTATGATTAGACTTGAGCAAATGACGGGGTTGTGAGCCAACAATACGAAGAGGGTGTAACCCCATTTCGCATTTGCGGACGACCTCGCTATGCTGGTAGTGGCGCGGGACAGGGAGGACCTTATCTTTGGTGCACAGCGTACATGCAACCAAGTCGAGGAATGGATGAAAATGCATGAGCTAGAACTGGCTGCGGATAAGACCGAGGCTATAGTTCTCAAGGGACCAAGGAAAAGGGACGGGATAACATTTGAATGTGCAGGAAACGAAGTGGTTCCAAAGAAATGCGTGAGGTATTTAGAGGTGACTCTGAGTCAAAACGGAAAGTGGGGGAGCACATAAAGGCGGTGACTCAAAGAGATGCGGTGAGATCCGTCGCGTTGGGGGAATCATGCCCAACATCGGAGGGCCCAAAACTGAGAGAAGGAGGGACCTTCATTCTGTTGTGCAATCGATTGTCCTCTACGCTGCGCGTTTCAGGAGTACTGCAGTTTACCGAAAGCAGCTCACCCGAGCAGATAGAAAGAGTCTATTGAGGGTGGCGTGTGCATACAAAACAGCCTCTGCCGAGGCGTTGGGAGTTATTACCGGGTGTATTCCGATGCACGTGCTAGTGAAGGAAAGAGGAAGAATATACAGGAGAAGAAATAAAGACATAGCAACAAAACGTTTAAAAAAAGAAGAAAGGAAAGGTCCATAATGGTGTGGCAAGAGGAATGGGACGAGATGAGAAGGGTGGCGTAGTGGACGAAAGCGTTGATTCCTAATCTGAGAAGATGGATGGAGTGCGGGCACCGGCGTTTGGATTACTTTCTGATGCAGATGCTCACAGGACATGGTTGCTTCAGGGCATATCTTTACAGATTTGGAAAGGCAGAAAATGACAAATGCCTGTATTGTGAAATATCGGACACTGTCTCACACTCTCAATTGGTATGCGATAGATGGATAGGTGAGAGGAGCCTGCTTGAAACAGAGCTAGGAAGTAGGGTGCAATCAGTCACGGAACTGGTGGAGAAGATGCTTAGGTCGTCAGATCGCTGGAGAGCAGTTCAGAAATATGTGAGGAGAATATTGGAGAGAAAGAAACAGGAAAAAACGCGACCCGAAGGGAGGCAGGGTGCCCGGGAGCAAGCAAGAAGATAAGGTAGAATGAGAAGAGAAGGGGTGAGATTGAACATGAACAGAGGAAGAGAAGAATTCAGTCGTAGTGAGAAAGTGCTAGAATGCGTGAAAATTGTGCGTGAATGAGAGACCGGGTGAATGCCGTGCCGATGTTGCGTCCCAATCAGGGCGATCCGGCCGGTAATTCACCACTGAGGACGGTGTTTTTTGGCAGGTAGGTCTCTGGCATTGACGACAATGGTGTCCGAATATCATCGTAATGATATGTAACGATATTATCGTGGCCCCGCTGGAGAAGTCCTGCATAACCGAGGCTGGAAAGCGGTTCTGCCCACCTTCTAGAACCGAGTATGTTTTGAACATTTGGACCACCCCCTCATAAAAGAGGCAAAAAAATAGACTACGGCAAATATTCAAAATACATGTTTTACATATTGTGCATATTTATTGCAAATATTGATAATTTTGCATATTCTTACAAAATATTGCATAACATTTCAATTTATGTTTAATTGTGGGTTTTATATATCAATAGATCATAAGTAATGACACAACCAAATAACTGGAACATCCCAATATTCATTTTTATTTTAATATTACTCCAAATACTAGGTAGTAGTCTTTTATTTTGTTTACACGAATTAAAATGATTTAAAAAAATGCAAGCTTTTCTATTGTATTGCATGATCCTAAGAATTCCATTTGGTTAATCAGTTTTGCCATGTTCATTTTTATTCTGCTGTTAAAGAAAATTTTAAAACCATCAGTCGAGCGTGTATAATTAATGTAACTAAAAACTAAAAACCAACAGTGCTTCTGCTTAAAACAACCTTACAAAGAGCTTAGAGCTTGCAAAGAGCTTACAAAGAGCAACAAACTTAGATATGGAAAAAATATGTTGTTCCGTTTCGACAAGAAATTTCAGATAGATCAACACATCAGAACCGCTACATATTTAGTAAAAAAAAAGGATTTAAAATATATAGACGTAACTTCGCCACTGCCGGATCTATATCCGGATAAGAGGGTAGGAGGGTGGGTCTTGGTGATATTATGCATGTCAAGTATCAATAAATATCAAATAATACCCAAGTCTATACTTGTAGGAGACACTAGCAAATTTTACCTACGAAAGGACAACTGAAGGAGGATTCTTCTTCTTAGGCTGCCTTTCCATTTCGAACGTTGATGATCATTCTGGGCTATGATGACTTTGTTGGTTGCTATACGAAATAGCTGTGTTAAGGTCTTTCCTTACCATGCTCTCAGGTTAGCCCAGAATATTCTTCTTCGTCCTGGGGCCCTTTTTCCTTCAATTTTACGTTGTAAATGCTTAATTTCTCATTATATGTCCCAAGTAATGCAGCTTACAGCCCTTCACGATGTTGACCAAATTCAGCAGTTGTGTTCATCCTCCGCAGTTCTTCTTCATTGGTGACTTTGTCTGTCCATGGCATCTTCAAGATCCTTCTGTATGACTATAGCTCAAAAGCCTGAAGTTTTGATAGAGTTTTCGCCTTCAATGTCCACGTTTCTACTCCGTACAAAAGCACTGAGTACACATAATATTTAAGGAGCCTTATTTTTGTTTTCCAGGGTGAGGTCAAGGCTCTTGAACACAGAACTTATAGTCAAGAATGCACTCTTTGCCTTTCCGATGCGACATTTAATCTCTTGGGTATTATTCCACGACTCATTGATTATAGTTCCCAAGTAGTTGTATTGTGAGACTCGTTCAATTGTCATTTGGCTCACATACAGATTTGCTCCAGTTGTGTTTTCCTTGCTGATGATCATTAGCTTTGTTTTGCTGGTGTTTATAACCAGTTTATAACCAGTTTGCTGGTGTGTATATTCTTGCACATAAGAATATACACAAGGTAACCTGGACCTCCCCTGATGGAAGAACAACTAGTCAGATTGATCACATCTTAATAGATTCAAGACACGGAACGGACATAATGAACTGCAGAAGTTATAGAGGCGCAAACATAGACTCAGACCACTGTTTAGTGGTCTCAACACTAAGGGCTAGAATTTCAAATTCCAACAAAGAAAAAAAATAGATACAAAGAAATGGAATGTACAGAAGCTGAGAGATGCAACTGCTGCAAAACAGTACTGGGAGAATATTACCAATAGGTTAAGAAATCAAAGTCCAATCGAAGAAGACCAGAGAGATATAGACTCCTACTGGACCATGATAAAGGAAGATATTGAGTCAGCAGCAGAAGATGAAATAGGAACAGAAACTTGTACCCGAAAAAATTACTAGTTTGACGATGAATGCAAAGACGCAACACAGAAAAAAAATGAAGCTTATGCAAAAATGCTTACCCGCCGGACTAGAACAAGTGTAGAGAATTACCAGACAAAGAGAAGAGAAGAAAAGAAAATCACAAGAAAAGAAAGAGAAAGAGAGAAGAAAGAAAAACACAAGTAGGCAAACACAAACCAATGTAGAAGTTTGAATGGCGATCTATTAACAACAAGAACAGACGTACTAAATCGATGGATGGAATATTTTAACCAGATACTTAATATAGAAGGAAGAAGAAGAAAACCCGGAAGACGAAAGCTGTGAGGTAAGCGGAGCAGACGAGAGGGAGGAGAATCCACCAACGATCCTGGAAGTTAAAGACGCTGTAATCAAACTAGCCAGAAACAAATCACCCGGAATAGATAATCTCCCAGCGGAATTATATAAAGAAGGTGGCGAAGATATCATAATAGCGCTACAGCAGCTTATAAAAGAAATATGGATACAGCAGTCCCTTCCCAGTGATTGGAATATTGGAATACTTTGCACCATACACAAAAAGGGAGATATCTTTGAAAGCTCTAAATATCGAGGAATTACGCTCCTAAATGCAGCGTATAAAATATTCTCCAATATACTATGCCATCGTATGGCACCGTATGCAGAGCGAATAATAGGACAATACCAGGCTGGTTTCAGAGGTGGTAAATCAACAATTCATCAGATTTCAACCCTGAGACAAATTCTAGAGAAAACGCTGGAATACGGTGTAGACACGCACCATATATTTATAGACTACAAGGCAGCCTACGACTCTGTAAATAGAAAAGAATTGTTTAGAGCAATGATAGACCTGGGAGTACCAAATCAGTTGGTAAGTCTAACCAAACTAACCCTTGAAAAAGTTGAATGCAGGGTACGAATCCAGGGGGAACTCTCTGAACCTTTTAAAACAAATAACGGGCTACGTCAGGGAAACCCACTCTCCTGTATACTATTTAATCTAGCTCTGGAAAAAGTAATACGTACGTCACAAATCACAACTACCGGTTCAATATATAACAAATCTGTGCAAATCCTAGCATATGCCGATGATATCAATATTGTTGGAAGAACGGAAAACGCAGCACGAGAGGCGTATGTAGCACTAAAGGAAGCGGCTAAAAAAATGGGTTTAATAATAAACAATAATAAAACGAAATACATGAAAATAGGTCCGCAACCACAAATACGACGGCCACTTGTTATAGAAAACGACGTCATCGAAGCAGTTAACGAATTTGTATACCTGGGAACGCTCGTCAATACTGAAAATGACACTACCGCAGAGATAAACCGCAGAATTTGCACGGCTAATAGATGCTATTTTGGCCTTAATCTCCTTTTTAAATCTACAGTTATATCAAGAAATACAAAAGTAAAACTCTACAAAACAATAATACGCCCAGTCCTAACATATGTTCAGAAACCTGGACTTTAACAAAAGCAATGAAAACATGTTAGGATGTTTCGAAAGAAAAATACTGAGGCGAATCTATGGAGCGGTAAATGAAAATGGTGTCTGGAGAAGACGATACAACTTCGAACTCTATAGAATATACCAGGAACCAGATATCATAAAACACATTAAGATAGGACGTCTGAGGTGGGTAGGCCATGTAATGCGGATGGAGCAAACCGGCCCAGCTAGAAAAACGCTCCTTGATAGACCTATTGGTCAAAGAAGAAGAGGAAGACCCAGAAAAAGATTCCTAGATAACATAGACCAAGATATGAGAAATATGGAAATACGTGCTTGGCGGAGGAAGGTGATGGATAGGGACGACTGGAAGAGAATTATTGGGGAGGCTAGGACCCACCCAGGGTTGTAAAGCCAAAATGATGATGATTATAACCAGTCTATATTTTCTACTTGTTTCCGTTATTTTGTTCATTAGGTTTTGCAGCCCTTCTATGGTATTGGAAAACACTATTGTATCATCTGCATAGCGCAGGAAGGTCGGTTGCCAGTGTCTAAATCTGGGCCATATTGGTTAATGGAGTAAACTTAGAAAGAAAATCCTGGTCCTCCTGAAGGCAAAGTCTGGGATGGGGCTTAGGACCTGCTTCTCTACACGTGTAAAAAACCCACTGCCAAAAATTCTACCAACCAGCCTCGGAACACAGGCGTGACCAAGACGAAGTAGCAAACAAACAAGCCACATTAATGAACCAATGTTATAGTAGATAGGCGCCACCTAGTGTCAATGGTAAAACTAATATCATGTTATATTAAGCATACTAAATACTTGCAAGATACAAAATTTCACTTAAATCGGTTGAATAGCTTTCAATGTATCCCTAAAAATAATATAAAAAAATATTAATGAATTACCCTGTAGAACGAAAACTAGCTACATTTTACCTAAGTAATTTGTTATTATATGTTAAAAAAAAACAGAGGCCATCTCTTGTGGAATTACCCTTCTATTATAGTTTATTTTTATGAACGAGAGAGTAATTAGCATAATTTTAACTGGTACATCTGACCACTCCATGGGCGTGCTCAAGATTAATTGAAAAATTACTTTGAATAATTGTAAAAAATAAATGAATTATTTCAGTGTTATAAAGTGTTATGTGTATGTAAACAAAAGTGACCTCTTTTATCACACACTATATTAGAACTGACTGGCCTACATTAAAAAGGGTTTTAAAAAATTCACATTTTTTTTAATTTTTAAAAATTACAAAAGAGAAAAAGAGTTTTTAAAACCGTCTAAGGTATGTTAAATAGATGAATAAAAATATTAATATAAAACTTACAGCTACTTGTTACAAATCCAAATCAGATTCAGAAGATGAACTTTCAGAACCAAGATTTATAATAACTGGCTCGATCATTTTATCAGTAATATTGTCCAGCTTCCACATTTTTTCCTCTTCTTTAATAGTGTGATTTACTGCCTTTTCCCAGTTTTCAGGTTTTACATTATTTACGGCCTCCAAAAACAACTGTTTAACATCATGAATTTTAAAAGTGGTATTTTTTCTTGAAACTTCACTCTTTATCTGTGCCCATACCAGTTCAATCGGGTTTAATTCACAATGATATGGTGGGGATCTAAGTACTGTCATTCCACGATTTTTGGCAATTTCATCAATTTCGTATTTTTTAAATTTTTCTTTATGAAGGGCACACAACGAATAAAGTTCCTTTCTTATAGATCCGGGATGGTACGTAATATTTTTTGAACTCAGCCAATTCTGCAAGTCTTTTTTTAACCACTTGGTTGTGGGCAGTCCTTCTATAAGTCTGGAGTGATAACTTGCATTATCCATTACTATTACACAGTTCTTAGGAAGAAGATCTATCATTTGTTCGAACCATTCTTGAAAGACATCAGCGTTCATGTCTTCATGGTAGTCACCGGTACGAGTTGATTCAAAAGTTAATAAACCACCTTCAACAAAACCGTCTGAACTGCCAATGTGTACTATTATCAGCCTGCGTCCCTTTCCTGATGGTGGGTTTAAACCAGTAGATAAGTTATTTACAAAAGCGTGCCTTTGACTTGTAACAGTTTCATCCTGCCAAAATTTATTTGGTGTATGACCCTCGTTGATCCATGTTTCATCAAGATAAAATATTTTTCTTTTTTGGTTTCTCATTTCCTTTATGGTTCTTAGAAAATGTCTTCTCCATATGACAATATCGCTTCTTTCTAATAAAATAGACTTTCTGGGATTCTTTTTCCAGCGGAAGCCTATTTCTTTTAAAAGTTTCCATAACGTACTTCGACTCATTTCTGGGTAATCCTTATCATCTCGAACTGAGACAAGAACTTTATCCAATGTTGGAAATTCTTGTCTAAAGAAGAATTCATGCACTTTCCGTCGAAGTCCTTCTTTAAAATGATATTCTATTTGAAATTTTGGTTTCCCTGGAGCATTACGTGGCATTTGAAAACTACCACATTTCTCTTCTTTAATAACTCTGTAAATCGTAGATTTCCCAACACCAAGTGTACTGCTAACTAACTCAACGGTCTCATCAACACTTTCACATAAACGTTTGTCTGTAAATGATTTAAAACAATTAAATATTAATGTTTTTTCATTAACTGTTAAAGGACCAATTTTTCGGCGTTTACACGGCACTTCCAAATTTTCCATAACACTAGTATACACAATAAACTGCACCTTGCAACTGAAGTACCTACTTTTAGTGAACTGTTAAGAATTTTGAATACGCCACTTGGACCTTCCTACAAAATGGAAAAACCCACTATCACATTTTCTGTGGAATAAGTTTAGAAGGTAATTATCTAGTCAATTACTGTCGTAGATTCCTGGAATTAAAGAATTAAATGTTTGATTGTTGAAACCCTTACTTCGTGGAATGCACTCATTTCAGATAAAATAAAACGTTTTATTTTATCTAAAGAATTAAACTTTATTTTGCAAATAGGTAGGTACTTATTAAACTTTTATTGGTTATATATAACCAATAAAATAAACATCTTACATTTCTTGCAAATTCATTAGTACCTGTTAACCTCCATCACTCCGACACTGGCAACCTTATTTAGGGATTAGTAACCCTCACAACTATTGTATTCTATTCTGCTCCAACCTTTATACCTGGTGGTCATACTCAATTTAAAATTGTTTTCCTATATACTTCTGTAAACTTGTTGACAAATATCTGTTTTTCATTGAGTCACCCGTATCAACAGTTTAGGGATTTGCATACATAATTTATTGTTTTATTACTCTCTCATACATAAAAATACACTATAATGAATGCCAATGTTGTGTTTTACAGAAACCCTCGTTACTGCTACTTCGATAAGATCTATTTATACGTATTCGTACCTTCGTATCAACCAAATAAAAATAACACAATATACTTAGTTAAAAATACTTACATTTTTACATAGTTCGTTCTTAACTTTCAACTTACCTCTTACTTTTTTGGCAGACTCAACATTTCTACAAGCAATAATGACTTTAGCTCCTCTTTTCGCCAGCTCCCGCGCTGTTTCTTTTCCAATCCCGCCCGTCGCTCCGGTAACAATTACAGTTTTTCCCTCCATTCTAACTTTTTCGTGGAAGAATCCGCAGGTCACATAAGCGTAAAACTTCAGTAATGAAACAGCGGTCAAAAAACCAAGAAGTAACACAGCGAAAATTGCTAGTAGAGTGGTAGAGTCCAGTTCCACGCCGAGAATATTCATACTGTAATAGAAAAATCATTAGATACGTGAAAGTCAGAACTATGAATTATTAAAGTCATTAAATTTTTTAATCTATCATAATGGAAGTTTAATGTCTTAGTTTTACATAAATATCAATAAACTTTTAATTAAGGTAGCTGGATACACATTATTATTGAATATTAATTAAGTTGTACTGTGCGACAATAAAAATGCCGCACCATTTGTGCATAAAATATTTTCAGATATTTTTGTGTAATTTGAGATTTATATAGCTTATTTTCTTCTTCTTTGTGTGCACTTTTGTTATGTTATGTTAGCGATTATCAAACGAGGACGTATCGAACGGACGTATACGAACTCATCATTTTGTAGCCCCCCATAAAATTATAAGACCCTCCGAGATATAGAAAACTGATCACCGGCATCCTTTGGAGACAGGTAAACTCATCAACGCAGATAGGTAAACTCATCACCAGCGTTTTTACCCCAAGGCCAAGGTTTCTAAAGCAGAAGATTGCCTGTTACCTGTTACCATCATCAGTGGCATTACAGCTCGGTATGAGCCAATTAATCGTTCTGTGTAATTGACCACGTTTCTGACCCGTATGTTAACAATGACCTTATTAGTATTTTATATATGGTAACTTTAATTATATAGGAGTCAGTGAAACTCGGTGGCCTAACTCTGGGCAATGTACAATTCGAAACCACACAATCTACTACTCCGGAAATGTCACTAAGACACACAGAAATGGAGTAGGCGTAATCGTGTCCCCATCTATAAAAAGTGCAGTAAAAGCATACACTCCCTTCTCAGACAGAATGTCACTCCTTCAGCTGAAAGCATATCCACTCGATCTAAATATCATACAAGTATACGCGCCAACAGCAGACAAAGATGACGAGATTGTGGAAGAATTTTACCAACAACTGGAGACCCTGATGAGAATGACCAAGAAAAGCAAAGTGACATTAATAATGGGCGACTTCAATGCAAAGGTCGGCAGAGGTAAGGTGTCAAACGTTGTGGGCGGACACGGATTAGGAACTAGAAACGAGAGAGGGGAACGTCTCATACGCTTCTGTCAGGAACAAAAACTATTGATAACTAATACTTTTTTTAAACTGCCCCCTCGCAGACTTTACACCTGGAAGTCGCCAGCAGACTCGAAAGAAACAAATGTAAGAAACCAGATCGACTTCATTGCCATACCAGAAAGATTCAGAAACTCAATCACATCAGTGAAAACCTATCCCGGGGCTGACGCTCAATCGGATCACAACCCAGTGGTGGGTAAACTGGGAATCAAACTAAAAACGTATAGAAGGGAAGCCTAACACAACCAAGATAAACATTAGGAAATTAAAGGATCCCAACATTAAACAACAAGTACAGGAATCCTTAAGAAGAAACATTGGAAACTTGAGTGAACCCGCACAAGACGCAGTTGCTAAATGGGAAGAAATAAAAAGAGCTGTTGAAATGACAAACAAGACACTTCTGTTACAGGAGCGCGTAAAGAAGAAAGAATGGATGACGGATGAAATCCTTAATATGATGGAAGACAGAAGACAACACAAATGCAAAAATCAAGTGAAGTATCGAGAAACAAGTCACAATATAAAAACAAAGATAAAGGAAGCGAAGGAACGCTGGCTGAAGGAGAAATGCGATGAAATCGAAGAGTGCGACAGAAGATATGACTACCACAACGCACAAAAAGATCAAAGAATTAACAACTAAAAAGAAAACCAATAATCCCCACCCGACACTAATAGACGCAGACGGTAACCTTATATCAGACGACTTGAAGCTCATTGACACATGGAAAGATTACGTAGAACGACTTTGTAACGATAAACGCAGAGCGACAGTGAACCAAGATGACAACATGACTGGACCCGAAATACTAAGGTCTGAAGTGGAAAAAGCCATTTCATCGCTAAAAAACGACAAAACACCAGGTCTCGACAACATACAGGGCGAGATCATAAAACTCCTATGCGAAACGGATGACCACTTCCTCGATTTTCTGACAGGCATTTTTAACACCTTTTACGACTAGGGGAGATTCCGGAGGTATGGCTTCGATCGACCTTTGTAGCCATACCCAAAACACCAAGTGCAAAACACTGTGATGAACACCGCTTAATAAGCTTGATAAATCACATTACCAAAGTTTTCACCAAAATCATACACAATAGAATATAAACAAATGCGAAGCAAATATATCGGAGTCACAGTTCGGATTCCGAAGCGCATTGGGCACAAGAGAGGCGATCTTCAGTCTGCAAGTTTTAATTCAAAGATGCAGAGACATGCACAAGGACGTCCACTTGTGCTACATCGACTTCTCCAAGGCGTTTGACAAGTCAAACATGATAAACTCATGGAAATGCTCAGGAAGATGCATATTGATGGCAAGGATCTGCGCATAATAACCAGTCTCTATTGGAACCAAAGTGCTGAGATAAAGATGGCTAACTTACACAGTAGAAAGATATATATTAAAAAGGGTATACGACAGGCATGCGTCCTCTCGCCGCTCCTGTTTAATATATACTCTGAACAAATCTTCAAGAAGCACTGGGAGAAGTTTCGGAGGGTATCAAAGTAAACGGAGAGGTAATCAATAATATTAGATATGCTGACGACACAGTTATTATCGCAAATGACTGCAACGACCTTCAAAGACTCATGCAAAGCATACACACAGCAAGTCAAGAATATGGTTTAGAACTCAATACAACCAAAACTAAATGCATGCTCATCAGCAGAACACAACAACCTCCGATGCAATTGACATTAAACAACCTAAAAATAGAACAAGTGGAGACATACACATACCTTGGAACCACAGTCAACACAAAATGGGACCAGTCAACAGAAATAAGATCACGAATTGAAAAAGCGCGAAACGCGTTCAACAATATGAAAAAGTGGTTCACAAGCAAAATCTCAATGGAACTAAAATTAAGACTGGTCAAGTGTTATGTCTTCCCGGTCTTGTTCTATGGAGCAGAGGCATGGACCACAACGGAAACCACCCTGAAGAAACTAGAATCCTTTGAGCTGTGGATATATCGCCGTATTCTTCGGATATCCTGGACAGACCACATCACTAACGTGGAAGTAATGCAGAGAATAGGCAAAAGCAAAGAAATAATCTTCACCGTAAAGAAACGGAAGCTTGAGTACTTCGGACATGTCATGAGGCATACTAAGTACCGGCTGCTACAGTTAATAGTCCAAGGAAAAATCGACAGTAGGAGGGGACCGGGAAGAAGACGACACTCATGGATGCATAACCTGCGACAATGGTTCGGACTAACATCGACCGAACTGTTCAGAGGTGCCGTAAACAAAGTCAAAATAGCCTTGTTAAAGCCAACGTCCGAAATGGATAGGGCAAAGGAAGAAGAAGAACTTTAATTATCGCCGGTGACCTAAATGGAAGAACACTAAGATAAGAAAACGACAGAACAGTTGGTAGATTTGGAGAAGATATAATGAACGATAACGAGGAGAGATTGATTAAGCTATGCGAAATAAACCACTTAAATATCACAAACGGCTTCTACAAACATAAAGACATACACACATACACTTGACACAAGAAACAAAAATTGGAGTTTTATTGATTATGTTATAGTAAACCACGAAAGCTCGATAAAAATAAAAGACGTGAGAGTAAAGCGAGGCGCAGAATGCAGCACAGATCACAAACTAGTAATTGCTTGGATAAAATTCCCCTTCATATGGACCCAACAGAAACCGACCCAGGGAGAGTCTGGCCAAGTTACGGCTCCGGCTACACCTGTCAATACGTGCTCAACACAAGAAAATAAATTCAAAATCAATTTATTAGAAGAAGACTCAATAAAAGACTTATATAAGCGAAGATTGGACCAAAAGCTAGAAGAGTTTCGGTATGAATCATTAGAACAAACATACGAACACATAAAAACCTGCATGAAGACAGCAGCCCTAGAAGCTCTTGGAAAGTGGATTAAAAATACACCCACAAACTACGAAATTAACCGAAGACACACTAACACGCATAAAAGAGAAAAAAGAACTCCATATAAAATAGCTGAACACAAAAAACTATGAGGACTTGGAACTATACAGGAAAAAAAATAAAGAAGTGAAAAGAAAAGTGGCAAGTGAAAAAAATGAAAGATGGGAAAAAAACATGCACAGAGATAGAACAGCACATAGGAGGAACGAGAAATTCAGAGTCATGGCGCATCTTAAAGTCGCTCCAAAGAAATAAGACAGAGAAAATCAAGATCGGTCAAATCAAAGAAAAACGAATGGCAAGAATACTATAAAAAAATGCTAACCGAAGACCGCCCCGAATTCAAAGAATCAGAAATAGACGGAATAGAAATCTACACACATGACGAAATCGAATTAAGCCTAGCTGAGGTAAAAAGAACGATCAAACTCTAAAGAACAAAAAAGCAGAAGGTCCCGGCGGAATACCAAATGAATTGATAAAAAACGGATCGGAAAAGTTATTCCGTATGATACACAAAATGTTTGAGCACTGAATGAAGAAGGACTTACCGGCAGAATGGACCCAAGCATATATGACATCAATATACAAGAAAGGAAATAGAAAAAACTGCGAAAACTATCGGGGAATCAGCATTATATCGTCTATAGGCAGACTGTATGGAAAGACCATAAAGGAAAATTAGAAATATATATACAGGATAAAATCGGAGAAGACCAGCAGGTTTCACAGCGGGAAAGCATGCTTAGATCACATTTACACGGTCGAACAACTAATAGAAAAAGAATGGCCAAAAATAGATCCATCCATCTGGCTTTTGTTGATCTTAAGAAGGCATATGACTCAATACATAGAACCAAGCTATGGGAAGCAATGGAAGACATCGAAGTTCCACGAAGATTAATAAACGCGGTAAAAGCACTCTACAAGAATAACGAAGTAGCTATCAAAACGGGCAATAGAATATGCAGTCCATTTAAGACGACAAAGGGACTAC